ACGTGGGTGATTTTCTCCCCTCGTGACGACTATCACACTGGGTTCTATTCACACTGGACATTAATCTTATTCGAGTTGTTGCCAGGCAACCACATTTGAATTCCCGACTCAACTGAAAAAGGAAGACGCAGGTGTTGTGGATTCGAATTCTCGAGTGAAGCGCTCAACGCTCGGCTACATAACAGGCCTATCAAAGCCCTGAAAGCTTTTTTACAAAATCTGAGTAGCATTGTCTTTTTTGATGATGCTATTGACTATATCCCTCCGTCAGAGCCAAACAAAAGAAATAGTCAGCTTTTTGTTTTGATTTCACCGGATTACAGAGAAAAATGTACAGTTTATATGTATTTAAATAAACATGGAAGTCAAAAATCATAAGGCAAAATCGGCTTAAGCACTTGTGTCTTCAGAAAACAGAATTGTTACGAGATAGAAATTTATGAACATTTCTTTTTCAGGAAATCGTCCTGATATCTTAATTTCGCAACACCTTCGCGGTTATATATCAACACAATACATCAATTGCAACTTTTGGATTTATTATATAACCAAATAAAAATGATTTTATTAACATATATGTACACGAAAGCCGACCTTCCTCCACCCCATTTCTTTTGAAAAGATTTTAGTTTTGGACGAAGTAGGGGCGATCGTGAAATCATGCACAAGGCAGTGGCGGATCCAGGGGAGCCCCCCCACCTTATTTTTGGATCCAACTAAGGCCCGAAGGGCCGAAGTAACTTTTTTTTTAAGACCGTCCCCGGCTTATCTCAGGGTCTGGATGACTCTTCATTATCATCAGCATCATCATCATCATCATCACCACCACCACCACCTACCCACCCACCACCACCACCATCATCATCATCAGCATCGTTCTTATCATCTTGCTGAAGGAGTTTTTTCATCATTTAATACCAGCGCGGAACTACGCAAATCGATGCAGTTCCATACATGACACAGTGATATAGAAAAATATTTTAATTAGAACCTCTCACTGGTTATCGCAAGAAAATAGCCCCTTCTTCTCGGCGCATAGAAACCAGTAAGTTGTGCAACGAAACGTTGGCTTTTCTCAAACTAACTTTTATTACTTTCAGAGCAATATTTAAAATTATTCATTTTCTTATTAAAAGCCAGGTAGGACGCCCTATCATGGTTCTGTGGATGAGTCCATAACAAGAAGCCCAGTGAACAACGAGGTGAAACCACGCGTGTTTGGAAGGGATTTTAAACCAGGGTCAGAGTATAATGTTAGTTGTTTCTTAATTTGCATATCTGATCCACAAAGTAGGTAACACAGCATAAGAAGATTGAAAACTTTAAATGCATTGTTATTACAAAAAAGAAAGAAAGCGTAACACCAGTAACTTTCATCTCGATAACAAGTGAACGACGAACAGTTTAAAAGCTCTAAACTAGAAAAGAATACGTACCGCAAATACAGCTTAAGTAAAACTAAACGATTACAGGATAATTCCTCAAGAGTTACTGATTCTTTGTAGGTTTGCCCTCCAAGAATCTTAAACGCCCGTAGTCGACGGAGGCCCTAATGTGTGAAGCGTGATAGAACTCGTACAACTAAGCAATATTAATTACAGTCAGAAAATCATAGAGAGTTGCAAAAAATAAATGCGTGAATTCGGAACTTTAGGGTACGTTCGATTAACCATATTCCGAAATAAAACTCCAGAAGACTGCTTCATATGCCTTTTGTCGGGATTTGGGAGTTATTAGAATGTTACTTAGGTGTAATTAGCCAGGAGCCCAGAGGGGAATTTACCTGTTTGAACTGTACAGGGACGTGCCGCTGGAGAATTTTGCTTCCTCTGCCCTGAACAGAACAATTTAATGCCAGCCTATCCTAAACGGGGTCTAATTATTTGCAAAGAAACAGAAGGGTGTTTATTTTGGCCATTACCCACAACAGGGTTTTAACACAGAGATTGCTGGCCTATACAAGGAAGGCTTGTTGGGTTTTGTTATGCACTACACTAATTTTCTTTTCGTTCTTTCATTAATTTGGAATTCTTAAACGACCAAATTCGCAATTTTCTCGTAATTTCTACGCAGCTGTACTACCTCATATAGCTCTTGAGGAAGTCTTCAGTTTGCGTTCTGTTTCTAGTTCGTCTGTGAGCACAGGGTGTAACTTTCACTGGGCTTACTAAGGCAAATTCAGGCGATGAGGTTTATAGATTCGGAATATAACTTTGTTTTTCCTCTTTGCCTTAGTTTATGCATTTTTTGGGCTCGCGTTTCCCTCTGTTGTCCTAAGAGCAAGTAATTCCTAAACAAAGGATTTCTACACTTTATTCAACATTCATTTTCCGGAATGGAGTCAATTGAACGCACCCTAACTATGAAGAATTTTAAAAATAATTTGAGTAATAATCTATCAAAAGCTGATCAGTATCTTTTCACCCATGAAATAAAAAATGAGCTTGTTGGTTTGTATTAATATTCCCGGTGGACTTAAGCAAGTACTTCATAAAATACCTCTAACTCATTTGGGCAGAAGTTATTGTTTCCAGTCCACACATAACAGCTATAACAGGGACTTGTATACGAATTGCAGTTACAATAAAAGTAAGAGTTATAATTGTATCCTGCGTTGTCTGCAATGTAGATATCATGCCCTCCACCAAAGGTTGGACCATAGTTATAGTAGCTGTATGTGGCTGTCCAATAGTCGGTCACGTCTTTTTTAAAGTATCCATACCCGTAATAGTTTTGCAGCGAGTACAGGAAGGTGTTGCTCGAGTACTGATACCCAGAAGACCCTGAGAAGATACAAAAACATTTAAATTCTACGCAAAATATCAACAGGTCTTTTAGTGCCAAACAAAGACACTTAGCTTAGTAGTGCATATTTACTAAAAGTGTTCTTGAAAAGCTGTGTCATTTTCAGGTAAGTCCCGAGATGGTCTGAAATCGAGTTATACTTACTTCGTTTTTCTGAAGTATAATATACCCATTCAACTGGAAATTAATTTGTAGAGTTGTGTTGAGCAATTCAGTTAAAACAGAATAAAACTACATGAAATGACTCAACATTTTGAAAAGTGGGCGAAATGACTCTCGCAGTTAAATGAGCAACCTAAGCGGTTGAAAAAGAACCTGAAAATTCAATCTTGACAACCGGGAATCGAACCCTGGTCTATGCGATGACCGGACGCAACGCTTTATCCATTAAGTCAATCAAGCCAACTGGAGAGCAGGCCATTGTGAGTTCGTGATATACCCGATGGTGGAAATTGCATGAACGAAAATATATGAAATAACTCACATTTTGAACTGCGAATAAACATACGAAAGTGGAAACGATCCTCGCAGTTAAATGAACAACCTAAGCGGTTAAAAAACAACCAGATTTTTATCATTTCCACCATCGGGTATGTTACGAACTTACAGTGGTCTGCTCTCCAGAGCGTTGCGTCCGGCCATCGCAGAGGTGCAGGGTTCGATTCCCGATCAAGCCTGAAAATTTTTCAGGTTCTTTTTCAAGCCCTTAGGTTGTTCTTTTAACTGCGAGGATAACTTCCACGTCACTCAATTAAAACTGCTAAAGGAAGAAGAAGCACGGCCAGCTTTTGTTTTACAGTTTCGAAACAAATGATACACTTCTAAATTGCACTGTAAAATTTTTATTGAATTTACCCCAGCATTATATGACCCTAGAGCATAACCGGTTGTGCGTCAATTGAATTACTTAGCTGCTTTTTGTTGCCATGAATGAAAAAAATTAATGTACTATAAAACCATTACGAATGTGTGAAAATCATATATATGAACTGCGAAGTGAAGAATTATTTGAAGGAAGATCATCGCAGTTATATACGCAACTTATGCAGTTGCGAAAAGAAAGCCTAAAAAAATTCAGACTTGTACGGCATTCGAACCCTTGACCTCTGCGATACCGGTGCAGGGCTCTACCAAGCCAACTGGGTGAAGGTCGTTGAATCGGTTCGTTATAAACCCGTGAAAGGATGATGATGAAATTATGAATGCAAGGTTTTTAACCAATCGAAGCGTCATTGGACCAGTTATTTAAACGGAGTTAAGCCAGTGTGTTTAACAAAACCGCGTTCTAAGCCACTTTCACTTTCCCGAACACTTTATCCAACACCATTTTTCGAGAACAGTTTCATAAAAGCATATAACGTAGACTGGAAAAGCATTTTTCTTCTTAAAATAACCCACCTTGGAAGAGATCTGGAGGTTCAAAGATTGCGGTCTAAGTTAGAATTCGTTTAAATAACCAACGCAATGTGTCTTGCTCAAGGTACTGGACATAAATAAATCTCACCACCCCACTCATCGCCCCTTTTTAAACGGGTGATGTGTTAAAACACTCTGGAGTTAATGGCTTAGATTTCAACCAGTCACACCCCCCTCCCCCACTTAGTACCGTTTTATTTAGCAGACTTACATTGCCACGAATGGCCGTTGTAACCCCCAAAAATGTAGCTTCCAACCCTTACAATAGTTACAGTGGGCCCCTTGTTATCACAATAACTGTGAAAGGTCTGTGAGCTCCAACCGTGACTAGTGGCTCTATAACACAGTTTCCAGTAACTTTTGTCCGAACTTTGCAAGTGGGGAAGAAGCCAGGTATTTAACTGTGATCTCTTGCCGAAGTCATTCGATAAAATGACTGAGTTACCGAGGCCACCTGAAAGAAAAGAAAACCAAAATCTGTCCTTTAGTTGCTTTAATTAATTTTTTTGCTCTTTTTGACCAAACTAGTCCTAAAAGCAAAGAAGCAAAGACCTGACAACAAAGACCTGACAACTGCATGTTGGCAACTACCACATCTTCGCAAAACTTCACAACTGCCACCTCTCCAAAGCAGTAGAGGTCACTAAAGCGCGCGTATCGACTGCCAAAGCTCCTCACAACCAGCTGGACCTTTAATACTGAAATTTATCCAAGGACAAAATCGTGCCTGAAGCAAATTACTTATCAAAGGAGCTGTGTCAAGAAACTCTTCAAAATTTAAACAGTGGGAACTCCCACCAAATTGAGTGGAACTTAAAAATGACAACTCAAAATGTTCAAACAAGGAATAATAACAATGCAAATACAAAAACCGCTCAGATAGAGAAACTTAAAGAATGAAATGGGTTGAACTTGTGGTTTTTGAAAACTTGTTAGCTAACAGTTTTTCATTTTTGTTGTTGGTAACGTTTAAAATAATTCTTAGGAGACACATTTTTTTTTACACGAAGCAATGATTTTGTATTCAAGTTTTCTCCAGTGCCGTAGCGAATAAGGACGCGTGATTGGCAGCTATAAACAAAGTGGACTAGCCAACCGTGACACAGCTCTCTTTAAGTACAAAAAAAGAGCACATTTATGAGCCGATAAATTATTGCGGGCCACAAGAGGAGCCCGCGCAATCCCACTCTCTAGGTTGCTATTACACATGCAACGCACGTATCGTATCTAACACCGTAAAGAACCATTTAGCTGTTAATCAACTCCCCTAGAAATCGCGGGTGCGCCCAGCCCTTGTTTGCATTTTTGTTCTAAATCGCCTTCTAGCATGTTCAGTTCAGCTTTTATTTCAACGTTGTTTCTTCAAAAGCACTAAGTAGTAGTTTCCTGTCAGGAGTATCTCTTTTGCGGTCAGAAGTTCAGCTACCAACGGATTCCGATTTTTGACGGTGATCCTATCGAGTACGGAGCCTTTGTAAGAGCCTTCGAAAAAGTGATTGAGTCCAAAACGTCCAGTACAATGTAGTAGCGAGAGGCTGTACTTTCTCGAGCAGTTTACCAGTGGGGATGTCAAAGAGCTTGTTCGATCGTGCCATTACCTCCCACCTGACAAGGGATACAGGGAAGCCCGAAGTCTGATGAAAAAGAAGTTTGGTGACGATTATCGAGTTGCATCGGCCTACGAAAGCAAGGCGCTGAACTGGCCTGGGTTGAAAGCTGAGGACAGCACCGCCCTTAACAGATTTTCAATATTTCTCATGAGGTCCCGATACTGCACAGAAGCTCATCCTGAAGTTACCTTTCAATATGAGAAAAACATGGCGCCGTTTGGTGGACATTATGGAAACAGAGGAACGCTCTGTTACGTTTCGCGACCTTGCCAAGTTCGTGGATAATGAGGCAAGAGTAGCCGCCAATCCAGTATCCGGAAAGATTACAGAGGATGCAAAGCCAAAACAAGAACCTAGAAGCGGTTGAACAAAGAGCGGATCTGATGGAAGTAAGAAAAGCTTTGCTGCGCAGGTGGGCGGTGACCAGAATTTACCTCCTGAAGAGCCACCTTCTGGAACGACCCCCTCAGTTGGAAATGTCTCATGTACTTTCTGCAATTCTGGCCATGCCTTGGAGACCTGCGAGGTACTTAGACGTCTCCCATATCAAGACCGAATTCAGTTCCTGTTGTCAAAACACTTTTGCTTTGGTTGTTTACCCACTGGTCACAATGCCAGAGTCTGCCCAGAAAGGAAAATATGAACGGTAGCTAACTGTGGCAGGAAACATCTTACAATTCTTCGCACGAACACTGCTGGTCGAAATCGATCCAATGACACTCCCTCCGCAAGCAATTCGACCCGCGAGGATTCCACGCAGGTTCGCAACGGAATGGCGAACCTGGCGAGCTTGAAAGGTGGTGTGGGTATTGTCCCAATCAAGGTCTGGTCAAGAACGGCGAGAACACTAGTGATTACCTATGCGTTCCTGGACAACGGTAGCACTTCAACATTCTGAGCAGAGTCCTTAATGAAGCAACCGGGCGTCAGCGGCTCGAGAGATCAGATCTCCTTGACAACTTTGGAAAAGAAAGACAGTATTATTGATCGCTTCGTAGTGAAAGGTTTAACCATCTCCGATCTCGGCCAGAACGTCTTTATTGAGCTGCCAGCAATGTGTACGAGACCAGAAATACCTGTTTCTAAAGAGGACATACCCACCCAGAGCGCTGTCGACCGATGGCCACACTTGAGTGGAGTTTACCTACCTGAAGTTGACGCTGAAAGCGGTCTTCTCATAGCTTGTGACGTCCCCATAGTCTTCGATCCTTTGGAAGTGAAACACAGTAAAGACGGTGATATATGCCGCGCGTACGAGAATCGGTTGGGTAGTTAACGGCCCCTTAGGACTTCATCACAAAGGCCAGCGCGTGACAAGTTTCTTTGTTAAGGCTGATCCCGAATTGCAGCGTATGGTGAAGGATTTCTACGACAGTGCTTTCAACGAATCCAGCGCTGATGATAGACCAGAAATGTCCCAGGGAACTGGAGAGTAGAGTGGTCTTGAGGGACGGTCATTACGAAATAGCGTTGCCTTTTGAAGGATTGTAATGCGCCAGTGCCGAACAATAGACCGCAAGCAGAACAGCGCGCTCACTGGTTGATGAAGCTTTAGCGTAATAAGAATTTTTACGAAGACCACAAGAGTTTCATGTCTGCAATTATTGAAAAGGGTTACGCACGTAAGGTGCCAGCAGATCTCTAGGAAACCAATATGAAATGGTGCGTACCTCATCACGGGATTTATCATCCGCACAAGCCCGGAAAGATTCGTGTGGTGTTTGACTGTTCGGCAAAATACCAGGGCAAGTCGCTCAATGATCTGCTGCTTAGCAGCCCGGATTTAACAAACACTCTGTTTGGAGTTTAAATGACATTCAGACAGGAGAGAGTCGTTCTAATGGCGGATATAGAAGCAATGTTTTACCAAGTTAAGGTAGCCAATGAAGATTGCACTTACTTTCGTTTTCTCTTGTGGCCTGATGGTAATCTGCAAAGTGAGCTGGAAGAATACCAGATGGTGGTACACGAATCTGGAGCCGCATCTTCTCCCTCCTGTTCCAATTTTGCGTTCCGCAAGACAGCTGAAGACAACAGCAATCACTTCCCGGAAGAAGTCGTGAGAACAGTTAAGAAGAATTTGTACGTAGATGATTGCCTCGAGTCCTTACCATCAGCTGAGGAAGCTTCACATCATGCTAGCGACCTGCTTTGTCTGCTTTCAAGAGGCGGTTTTAGGCTGACAAAGTGGATAGGCAATGGTCACAGAGTTCTGGAAAATATACCTGAGGATGAGCACGCCAAAGATGTGAAAGCTATCGATCTAAGCAAAGACCACCTTCCAGTTGAGAGGGCTCTTGGTGTTAAATGGTGTGTTGAAACAGACAACTCTGGTTTCAAGGTGGATTTCAAGCTCAAGCCACCCATGCGGCGAGGCATTCTCTCAGTCGTCAGCTCCGTTTACGATCCCTTTGGACTCGCAGCCCCGTTCCTGTCGCCGGCTAAACAGTTGCTTCAGGATTTATGTCGCATGAAGTTACAATGGGATGACCCGGTTCCCTCACAACTATAGGTTCGTTGGGAGAAATGGTTGGCGGATCTCCCGAAGGTATCTCAGTTCTCCGTAAGCCGCTGCATCAAACCATTTGGTTTCAACGTCATCTCTTCGAGCCAGCTCCAACATTTCTCGGACGCTTCTGAGGTCGGATTTGATCAGTTTCCTATCTTCGTAATGTCAACAACCAAGGCGACATTCATTGCTCCTTCCTCTGCGCAAAGTCACGAGTAGCACCTTTGAAAACGATTATGATCCCTTCCCTCGAGTCATCTGCTGCAACAATCTCCATCAAGCAAGACAAGATCTTAAGGAGAGAATTAGAGGTACTGAACGATGCCCAGTCTATCTTCTGGACAGATAGCACCATAGTGCTGCGTTATATCAAGAATGAGACAAACCGGTACCACACCTTCGTAGCCAACCGTATCGCTGTGATTCGCGATGGCTCCAACCCCGATCAATTGAAACATGCCCATGGCGACATGAACCCTGCTGACGACGCCTCCCGAAGATTGACAGCAGGCAACTTCCTTTGCCAAAGTAGCTGGTTAATGGGGCCGGAATTCCTTTGGAAACCCGAGCACGAATGGCCAGTGCAGACAGAAGCGTTTGGAAGCGTTTCGAACGAAGACCCTGAGGTCAAACCAGGAGTTCAGGTACGCATGTCACTGGACAAGCAGATAGTTTCCTCTCAGACTACTTCCTGAAATGTTCTTCCTGGGCTCGCTTGAAGACAGTTGTCGCCTGGCTCTTGCGCTACCGAGAAAACCTTTTAAACGCGAGCAAGAAAAGGTCGAAGCATGACGCTCCAAAGTACATCACCCTTACAGAGCTTGAGAGAGCCGAGAAAGAAATTCTAAAGCACGTGCAAGGAAGGGCTTTCCCGGAAGAACTTAACTACCCCATAAAGATTGTTAAGAAGAGTAGCCGCCTTTACAAGCTTGATCCACACGTTATCGATGGGCTTTTATTCTTAGGGGGTCGTTTGCGCAATGCGTCCTTACCCTCGGAGACAAAGAATCAGATTATTCTCCCAAAGGAAGACCACGGTACTAAGTTGATAATCTACGACTACCACAGCATTTGCGGCCACTCCGAAAGAGAGCACGTCCTAGCCTTAATTCGAGAGAGGTTTTGGATTCTCCAAGTAAGTTCTACTGTCAAAGGCGTCCTTTCAAAGTGTGTCAGCTGCCGTCGTCGACAGGCGCCCCTTTGTCAACAGAAAATGGCCGATTTACCAGGTAGTCTCGTTTTGCCTGACAAGCCATCCTTTACAGCAGTTGGGGCAGACTGTTTTGGCCCCTTTCATGTCAAAAGTTGGCGTAGCCTCGTAAAGGGTTACGGCGTGTTTTTTACATGCCTTGCGATTCGGGCTGTTTATATTGAAGTGGTTAACAGTCTAGATACAGCCTCGTTACTGCTTGCCCTGCGTCGTTTTATTGCCGGGAGAGGCCAGGTGAGAGAGATTTACTCGGACAACGGGACGAACTTCACCAGTGGTGAGCGAGAGCTGCGAGACGCTATTTCAGATTGGAATCAAGGAAAAATCCACAATTCTCTGTTACAGAAGCACATCAAGTGGTCCTTCAACCCTCCATATGGGTCTCACTTCGGCGGCTTTTGGGAGAGATGTATACGTACCATTCGGAAGATTCTGCAAGCCTTGCCTCGAGAGCAAATCACTGAAGACGAAAGTCTAGTTACCTTTATGTGTGAAGTAGAGAGCATCATGAACAGTCGGCCCATCACACTAAACGATATGGAGCCCCTGAAACCGAATCACGTGTTGTTGCTTAAGTCAGAAGTCACTTTGCCACCTAGTCTATTCATGAAGGAAGATTCATTTTCGCGTCGTAGGTGGAAGCAAGTTCAATATCATGCGGATATTTTCTGGAGACGATGGAGCAAGAAATACCTTTCCCTTTTGCAACTTAGACAAAAGTGGGTGCGCCCTAAGAGGAATTTGGCGATGTTGTCCTTGTCGCGACTGAATCTTCGCACCGAAATTCCTGGCCGCTAGGAAGAATCGTAGAGACCTTCCCAGACGGGAGAGGTTTTGTTCGACGGGTTAAAGTGCGTACCAAGACGGCTCTCTTCGAAAGGCCCGTTGACAAGCTGTGCCTTTGATTGAAGGAGACTGTTCAATTAAAGGGAACATGGACACTGAGTCACATAGATTGACATTGGTTAATTGACATTCGCTTAGACTGTCTAGTTTGTTACTCTGTCGTTTTTTAAGTGATTCGCTTTAGAGCTCTCACTTAGGAGCCGAGATATCATATCTAACTCCGTAAAGAACAATTTAGCTGTTAATCAACTCCCATAGGAATCGCACGTGCACCCAGCCCTTATTTGCATTTTTGTTCTAACTCGCCTTCTAGCATGTTCAGTTCAGCTTTTATTTTAACGTTGTTTCTTCAAGAGCACTAAGTAGTAGTTTCCTGTCACGAGTATCTCTTTTGTGGTCAGAAGTTTTGCGCCAAAACAATGTAAGTGCGTTGTACATTCGCTTCATTTTTGCTGTATTTCTTTTGCGCTCGCAGTATTTCTGAAGTTTTATTTTTACCTTGTATTTCAGTTTAAACCACAACACAACACATCAAAAACGACAAATTACGGTACATCGGATCTAAAATCAGTCGAGTCTTTGGGGTCAATAGCCTACTATCTTGCTTTTTGCTGTAACCTTCGACTCAAATTGGAATAAAGTTGTACGTCTATTGTTAGCGCTGATCAGTAAAAGAAGTCGCCTTACGGCAGCTATAGCACGTATGTAGCCAACTTCGTGTGGACCTCCACTAAAAATGAATGGAAACGCAATCTTATCACGCACGTGCGGACCTTCTCTCACTCGTGATTTAACCACGCGTGTTTTGACTATATCTATCGTGTGAAACTTACGCAAAGCACAGCGTTTGAGCAAAAGCGTTTTGACCTTCGAGCTTTGTCGCCCGCACTGCGTAACCTTTGGTTATTACTAGTTTAATTATCTAATTAAAATAGGTTAGCTTACGGTGGGAAGTACAAGTCTTTCCGTCGCCAATGTAATGCGCGTTCACGTCGCACTTGCAAGTAAATGACCCGACTGTATTGGTGCAGATTGCATTTGCGTGACAGTCGTGAGTGTGGAGTGAGCATTCATCTACGTCTGAAATGAAAGATTATACCATTTCCTAATGAGGGAGTTCCAGGATAAAAATTAAAGAAAAGAGAAGAAGAAGAAGAAGAAAAAAGGCAGAATTAGTCATAACTGAAGGATTCTGGTATTTTTAGCAAAATGACGTCATCATGCAATTGTCCTATTACAAAGACACAAGGCGTATACCTGTAATTCTTTCACTTATGTTCATTGAATCAGCCTCTATTGAGAGTTTCCTTCTTTATTATAATTGTTCTGTTTTCATATTTTAAAACGAGGGAATACAACTCTTATAAAGCGAAGGCAATGCCATTCCGAATGCCAGCAGTCGGGACCTGTGATCCTCCGACAGGGAAAATCTATTTCGAGTTTTGTATCTTCAAAGTTAGTTGGATATTTCCGATTACTAAGGTGTGTCCATCTCCATGGATCATAGGGTAGCAATATTCCGTCCATGTACTGAACTTGGGAGTTTTGTTTTGAGCAAGCTGGCTGGGGAAATTGAAGTTGAACGTTTTTTTTAGTGTTATAACTTTTAGAATGGATAGCTCTGAAATGCAAAAAAATTGAGAAAGGCCAAAATTCGTGTTCCCTTCCTTTTGTGAAAGATTTATTTGTGAAACCTGCGCATTTGATCAAGTAGTTTATTTACCATAGCAGGTTCGTCCATCTCCTGAGTAGCCACTGTCACAGGTGCATGTGTAAGATCCATCTGTATTATGGCAAGTTGCACTGCTGTCACACTGATGACGTGCAGAACACTCGTCCACATCTTAAAAGTCAAGGAAAAGAAAACCTCTTAACACTAACACAATATAGGAATTTGTAGTGCCATTTTCAGCTTACAAACACTACTTCAACTGATATTCATTCAAAAAGGTCTCCGTTCTGATTGGCTTGAACCCCTTCGCGCGCCCGCTAAGTCTAAAACTGGAAGATGTTTGCTAATATTTTACGATTGACATCAATCGTAAAATAGTACACTGAAATCGGGACTGACTAACGTCAACTAAGCAAAGTATTGGTGTGCTAGCCTAGTTGTTTTGACAGGGCAGAGCTACTGAAAATAGCGGATCGAAGATTGCTAACTTCTTGTGAAGACGAAATAGCCGAATTTCGGCTTCAAAAACATAGCATGAATACCCAAAAATACCGCTCAAAGGAAGACAACTGCTCTGTAAAGAACATCTGCAAGAATAAAACATCCCTAGATTTCTTTCATATGCCGAGGAACAGACAAATGTGGATGATGAAGACAGGAATTTAGCATAAAAGAAACATGTTATGAGCTCTGTAGTATTTTGATGAACAATAAAAACAATAATTGAATTCGGATTTTTAATTAATAAATGAAAAAATATAAATAAAAATATTTGGAAAGCTCATGGTTTTTTATTATTATCCCGCTAGTATTTTGAAAGGGGAATAATATTAGGACATTCTTACCTGTGCAATTCAAGCCATCACCGGTATATCCTGTTGAGCACTGGCATTTATAGGAGCCGATTGTGTTTGTACAGACCGCATTCTGGTGACAATGGTGATTATTCCCTCCACATTCATCAAGATCTTAGTTAAAATGGATAAATAAATAAATAAAAATAAAGGTTAACAATACATTGCTTGGAAGAAACAAAAACGACGTATACAGCATTGAGCACTAAAAAGAACAGTCGACTATTCAATCGATCGGCAGATTAAGCAATCAAAGAAATACAAACAAATACGATATTACTAATGAATATGTTTTACTGTTGTTGGTACTATTCTGCCATGATTGTTTTTAGCAGCTAACAAGGAAACGACGTTCTGGGAATCCTTTAGTGATAAGGGTTATACAAGAGAGTGCAAACGGTTCTAGATACCTTCTGAACAGGTGTAGTTATGGCAGGTGTCACAGCTCACATCATTCCACATAAAACTATGTCTGACTCCCAAAGTGTGAACGCAATCTTCATTGTTGAAGTTGTTTGGCTGGTTCGTAGCCCAGTATGTGAAGTTACTGAGTTGATTATCTGCCCAGATAAAGGTTCCCTCCGTGTCTCTATCGCTTAGTCCAATCCAGCCCTTAGCGCCATTCAGCCTATGTTGAATATAGACGTTCTCTTCTTGGTTTCGTACACTAATGAGATTAGCGCTGTATGATTGGCAAGTTTTCTGGGCTTCAGTCCAGTTCTTGCATGTTTGACTGGTTGAGTAGCAANGTTTTGAAAAAAAAAAGGGGGGGGGGGGGGGGGGGGGGGGGGGGGGGGGGTGTGTGGGGTGTTTGCCGCTAAACCCACCTGCAAGTACAGCGTATGATACATTTACAGGATCATGCTGGTCAGCGTACAACTCTTTGAGACAAATGCGGAATTCGCTTGTATTAATGTGCTGTAAAATAAATAATATCCTTTGTAAAACAAGCTAAATTTCCTTTCCAACGCAAAAATCTTTCTCAGCACCATAAATGGAGAGTTTAGCCTGGGATAGGGCAAAAGTGTCCGCGCTCACTTTGCTTATTTAAAATTTTGAGCCCCCTAAACGACAACCCGCCAAATTTCAGGGCTTTTGTGAAATTTATGTGGAAAGCAATTAATGTATCATTCAATGATTACATGTTATGGTGATTGACGTTTCAATGGCAAACACTTTCTCGATGGTATGATTTCTCTTCTTTAAGCCGTCTGTTTTATTAGTTTTAATTTTTTAAAAACTTGGTTAAAGATGGTTTGGCAAAAGAAATCGTTGCAATAATTGCTAACTTCATCGTTAACTGGGCAACAGCGGGTTCAAGATGGCTGCCTCAAAATTCGAAAAGGAGATTTATGAAATCATGTGATGTCACAAACCTTCTTTTTCAATTCTTTACACTCATATCAAATAATTGTGTTTCTTACAAAACAGTTTTAGTAATAAAGATAAGAATGTGAATACTTAATGTTAGTACGTGTATAAAGGTCAAATATACTGGAGAACTTCGCCTTATCAAGCTGATCAGTAAGGCACTGTAGGAATGTCTGGAAATAGAATTTGATTAAAGGCGTGAATTCATTTCGACTTCAGAACTTAAGAAAGGTGTATGAAAAAATAGCCAAAAAAGCAAGAAACTTTAGACTTAATTAACAGTGTTAAAAACTTTCAAGTTCTTTGGAATGGTCCTTTGTGTAAATATTGCTACATGTACATTGTTTTGGGCCCGGTTTAAACGTCGCATTTTCTTATGTGTTAAATTTAGCCGGCAAATGAGGAAAATCTATTGTCCCCGCTCATTTAAGGTAGGTTCGGCACATGTGAAATATGACGTTTTAACCGGGCCTAATAAACTTCCACATAGATCTCTTCACTTCTTGACATAAAAAAGTGAAGTATTCTTTTGCTTCTGACCTTTTTATTATATGACTTCAACATTTCCGTCCTACTTTAATTTACCTCAACCCAAGCAGTAACAGACATATGTATTGGTTTTAGGTTGTTGCCCTCTGAGTTATGACTGGCTGCTATCACTACTATGGGTTCTTTGTCGTAATTTCTTGCAAATTGCACGTCCTAGGGGTAGAAAGCGTAGGCTATTAAATAAATATATAGTAAATTAAGTTCAAAGCACACCATTTTGTTAATTCATGCTACATAAGATATAAGTGTCAAAATCTATATCCAAGGTTTTCCTAGCAGAGCGCTGCCGTGAAGAAAGTGAAGAAAGTAGAAAAACACCCTTTTTATAGGAAGAAATTAGGTGGAACAAGGTTAACTTAAAGACGTTCCCTGGTCAGCGGTCAGCGATGATGATGGCCGCGTCTTTTAAAGCTGGCTAGTTTGGTGTTATTTGTTGTCTTTTTTGCGTGTTTAAATAATTTAGTTTTTTGTGTAAGAGTTCCTGTTGGTGTCTTTTATTTGAATATGTCAAAGAAAGGAACAATCTTCCCCTTTCTAATCGCAATAAATCATCGAAAATCCTGTTCAAAAAGGCACTTAAAAAAATTATCTTGCTCAATATTGACTTGTGTGCGTGTGTGCGTGCGTGCGTCAATCTTGTTAAAGGGCCATAATTAGTTTTACTATAATGTGCCCTTCTCCATTCTAATTTTTTTCTTTTTTTTCTTATTTGCACGTAGCTGAAACAACCTTGTACTGATTAATATTTTACAACTAATGTATTATCTATAGAATGGAGTAAAACAAATACGTTCCATTACCCGGTTTCCATTTCTGACAAAATTCCTTCAGAGCACAGAGCATGTCAAAAGATTATGGTTGAGATTGCTTAAGGCGTTTCACAGTCAGATGCAGCCAAGAAAAAAACAACAACAACAATAAAACGAAACAAAGAAACGATTTGGACTTGTTGAATATCAGCTTGCATTTCTCTACACAATCAGAGATCTACAATCTTTGACAGAATTGAATGGAACAGCAAACCCTCATCTTCCCCTCCCCGTCCCCCCACCTCAAATCTAGGATGAAGCCGCGCGAAGGGCAAAAACGTGTCATTTTTCCATCTTTGATATAGGGGGAGGGGGATCTAAGTTTTCCATTAATTTAGTCCAAGATTGTAGCTTTCGTTTACACCTGTTTCTTACCTTACAAAATGCGCCATTGTTGTTCGCAGAAACAGGGTTGTTGTTTGGAAATTGCACTTGTTTGCTCTCGGCAAAAAGGGGCCGGTGGATTATTGCAAAGACCATCCAATTCTGAAAAAGTAATGTTCAGCAGTCGAGAGTGATTTGATTTCAAAGGAATCTTCTGATGATTACATATACCTAGTACCTGCTGTTCTTGATTTAAAAACCAGTCATTACGTTAGATGCCGTCTCGTTAATAGTCAATTTTACAGTTACAGGTGGAAACAAGGAGTTGTTTACCATTTACGAAAGAGTTTCCAGAAAAATTCGGTTGGAAAGTAAATGGATCACGACTCCATGGGTCGTTCCAACGGAAAATTTCCGGGAGCAACAACGGAACATCTGGGAAGGTAGTCTTGTTTGTCCAGACGGAATTCTCCAAAGGGAAATTCGTTTACCATTTCTTCAAAGCCATCTTTGATACCAGTTTCAGGCCTTTGCGGCCGTTTTTCGGAAAATAGAACTGATTTGTACAAATGGTAAACGCCATTCCGGGACGAAATTTACAAGTCGTGAGTTTTGCTTACCATTTACCCAAACCGTAAATCGACTTGATTGCCCAAATGGTAAATAACCCTTATTTTGATTCAACCCCTTCTGTTTTGTTATGTAAATCATGTCGTTCTTATGCTAACTAGTATCTTTAAGCATAATTTCCATGAAAAGAGGTCTGTATCAAAACAAGCTAGGTCAAACTCAGCCTTCCGTTCACCCAAAGGCTAGGATAATAAGCTCACAACTGTAAAACGTCTATTCTCGAAAAACAGCCATTTGGAAGAATTATGTGATTGATTAATTGATCAAAATTGATTGCGAACTGATTACTGACAGATTAAAAATACCAAGCAAGGTATGACTAACATGATCCGACTCTGAATACGCAGTACTCTTTAATTGCAGTCTGCGCTTCCGTTGTACTATTAAGAACCGTTTATCTGTCGCTTTATAAAAAATGGAATTGGAAACTTGAAATGTTATGACATGCATACCACTCACTGTTTTTAGACCACTTGAGAAATGTCTATCACCACCATTTGCTACAATGTGAAGTTTCTTTTTTTATATATTATTTTCTCTTTTACATACGTTTCGTTAAAATTTTTTGACATGTGCTTTTTTTCTGTACGGTTCTTAATGTGCATCCCTCAGAAAAAAGATAACAATCAAACTACCACAAAGATATCTTCATGTAGACCATCATAATTCTGTAGTTCTCGAAGACAAATGTAAAAGGAGGAACTGGTTGCGTTTTCCACCCACAAACTTGCGGCATCATGCTTGAAGGCTGCACTAATATGTTCTGCTGTAACCAGGGCTGTTGGCGCAGTAGCAAACTTTCCCTGTGAAGCAGTCGTTAAGGCAAATCACAAAAGGTGAGTCGTATCTCCAGACTTATTAATATTGTTAATTTCTTAAGAATTTAAGAACACATCCAAAACAAAAAGCTCAGAATGAAAAATAAACCACGATCTCAGTGCATGTTCGTAGTAAATGACTTTTTTCGATTTATGCATTGCCTTTTCATATGGTGGTTAAGTTTCTGGCCGCAACGAGTTTAACCTTCAAGTGTATAAGGCCGGTTTTGTCTGTTTTGTTTCATAATTTTTAGTTTCTGTTGCATGGTTTATGCTTTATAACCTCCTTGGCAGAAGACAAACATTTGTCATGTATTCAAAATCTAGTGCATGAATGAATGATTGTTTTCGCAGTTCTAAGGGGTTTAGCCTGCGAATAAGCTCCCTGGGGAGCAGGGCCTGATGGATCGGTCTTTTATTATCAATTATTCACTTCAAACTTTATTTTTCAAGCATCTAAAAATCTTACATTTTTCCTTCCTCCATCCTCCATAATGTCAATTAATATATCTCGCCACGTTTAGCCCCCGCCCCCCCCTCCCCCCCCCCCGCNTTCCTTCCCCCATCCTCCATAAAATAAACTAATATATCCCCCCACCTTTACCCCCCGGCCCCTCCCCCCCCCCCCCCGCCAAAAATATAATAATAATAAAAAACAATCTCCAAGTGCACTTCCAGAAAATAGACACAAAAATGACAATTACCTGAGGAAGGTTAACTTCTTTACACTGTGATCCAGTCCACCATTGTGAAATGCGTGATTTTCCTGTCACACCACCATCAGGTGCTCCTTGGTATGCCATCCAGTCCACGGTGGCAAATTCTTGGATAGAGCGGTCATTTCTTCCTGCTGCTGTCACGCAGACCTTAAGATACAATTCAACAGTTATTTGGTCGATTGAGATTTTATTTGTATCTAAGTAACACTTATATAGCGCTAATTCCGTAAAGTTAATTAGCGCTTCACAGTAAAATAAGGAATTATTAAAAAAAAAAAGAATAATTAAATCAGCAGTAGAAAATTCACATGTTAAAAAGCTATTTTAAATAAATGTGTTTTAATTTATTTCTTATAAGAAGATATAGAAAATTTGAATGGTCTCTGAGCCTATCTGAGAGTGCATTCCAGAGAATGGGTGCTGCAATTGTGAAGGCTCTAACCGGACCATAACTTTTCAGGTGGTATTGCTCATGAGCTAGGTATGTTTTTCGAGTTTCATCTCAGACTGCAGTTTGGCGTAGACAGGTGAATTAAATCTTTAAGATAAGCAAGAGCAGTGTCATTTAAACACTTAAAAGTCCTGAGTAGGATTTTATATGGAACCCTGAACTCAACAGGTAGCCAGTGAAGCTGTTTTATCACAGGTTTAATGTGTTCCCGCTTGTTGGTGAGTTTTGAACGCTTTGGAGTTTTTGTATCAGTTGATTAGGAACACCATAACGAAGTGAATTGCAGAAATCAACTTCTGAGATCACAAGGGAATGGATCAAGGTCTCTGCTGCTTGTGCTAGCAAGTGCTTTCGTATTCGAGCTATGTTACTTAAATGGAAGAAAGCAGATTTACAGGAAGCCTTAATATGTTCTTCCATAGAAAGTGACGAGTTAAATAGCGCACCGATATTTCGAGCAGTTTTTGATGGATTAATCACACATAGATACATACAAGGGAAAAATCTAAAGCCAAGTTTTGCATGTTATATAATGTTAATTTTTCAGAATAAACAAGACATACAGAATGAGCAAAATTAAAATGATAAAAGTAGTACAAGTTGTGAAATTGTCGAAGAAAGACAGGAATTAAAGAACATTAATTAAACAGTAATTACGTCAGCAGTTAAGGAACAGTAAATGAATTTTTTACAAATCGTCAATAAAAAGGTTAATAGAAATAAAAACATACAAGCCGAGTATGGAAATTTTTAAATCCTACAGAGTTACAAAATATTAACACTTGGTAGACCGCTGTCCATTAGGAAAAACTAAAACATTATTTTTAACTTTCACCTCAAAATTTTCGTAGTTAACGGTGTGCACCCATGAAACTGTGGCATCGTGTATAAAATTTTTCCTGCTGATGTTCCAGTGATTGGTCGTTATTTGTACGTGTACTTCTTTGTCTGGATAGAAGGAGAATGGTGGAAATTTCACCACTTTACAGGCCGTCTCAGCCGATCTTACACGTCTTTTGAGTGAAACCCGCCCGGTCTGAACTGGAAAGCCTAAAGAAGTATACAAATGCGAAGAGTTAAAACAAATGAGGATGGAGGAACAAGAAAGAGTTTTTGCTACAATGCCAGGATTAAATGCCCTTTAAAGTGATACATCCAGGTAGCTCGCATCCAGCAAATTAGATTACCAAATTAACAAAGTAAACAAAAGTGACATCATGAGCTAATTATAGAAAAAGCCGGTATGAATTTCTCTATCAATTCATCTATGGTGATGGGGAGTATGTGTGTGGAGGGAGCAAGAGGGACATGCGCTGAGAGAGCGGAAACAAAAGCAATACTTAATCCTGACTCAGGCCTAATAGATCGTCTCATGCTTTTTAGCTGGCAACAAAGAAGTAAAGTAAAAAAGTGTAAGAAATTTTACCGGTACAGCTGCCAGGATGATAAAGCGTGTGGTTACTTTTGCGTTTGCAAATGTCCAGCAGACAAAAGCACTTGTTCTTGAATGTTGTCGAGTTAGATGAACACACAGGCTCTTCGTACGACGGGCAGTTGTCATCACAAACACAACGGGCATCAAATGCAGAGAAAGCTTTGCAGATAGCATGGTACTCGCAAGTAACATTTGTGCACGGGTCAATATCTTTGAGAAAAAATACAAAATCACTTCGTACGACAGGAATTTAACCAATTTTTCTTCTAAACTCCTATCAGAAATCTTCCTGAAGCATAAAGGGCTAAAAATAATACATTTTTCGGAAAAATATTACTCCATTCGGCATGCAGGGCTAGACTTAAGTCAGAAGAATTACAGAAGACAATGCCTTTTTAAGACCTTCCCTACATGTGTGTATGTCCAAAAACTTATCTTTCTTGTTTTTATTTTCTTTCTTCGATTTTGAAACTGCTTCTTATCTTAACTAAAGTTTTCCTTTTTTTGCATGCCATGGAAACAACAAATTACCTCCCATAATTGCATAGTCCACTGTAACTGGATCGTGAGACTTGCTTATTCCCTGGCTGTCCTTGATGCACACTTTGAAAGACAAACGAGTGATTTCCTAGAAGACAACACATTCATTCAGGTACAACTGCTACAAATTTAGCAAGAAATACTGTTCAGTTCGATCAATTTTCTACTCCAGTCAAAGTTCAAAGTTACAAAAAAAATTTATAGAATTCCTAAACAATGAACTAAATATTAAACTTATAACTAAGTATCTAGCACTTCAAAAATTTCCATAGTCTATCCAAGTAAGATGGAAAAAAAAAAAGTGGAGCTTTCTGCGTCTTTAAAAGTAGGTTCCTTGTTCCTAGATTTTTAAGGCGTGGGTATTTCTTTTGTGGGGTAAAAAATCCATACGCAAGAAAAGTATGTGCAGAAAAAACTTTTTAGAATTATCTAAGCCAATTTTTTCGACTGACTCAATTTTAATGAAATTGAATGAAGTCCTTTTATTCGCCACTCTTTTTCTTGCCCACATTTGAAATTGAAAAAAAAAAATTAAAAATTGCTCGGTACAAAACCGATGTTGAAATGACAGTAGTGACTGAGGAATTTAATTCTAGTCAAATATAAGAGCGTTGCAGCCACTTCGAGCCCTTAATTCATTTTTACTCACTTACTCGGAGTGTGGAGGCACTTGAAAAAGAACTCTATAACATCAGTTTCAATAAATAAGGAAAGTTACATGGCTGTATATGGTCTAGGAAACTACTTACCTCTATCCAAGCATTTAAAGCATTGCCAAAACGACCATCAGCCTTCATCCACAGAACACTGGTAACGTTCTCATGTCTGGCAGACGCGAGGACACTAGGAGGCTCGTAAAATGGATTTTGGAATTTATAATCCTGAAAAAAAAATTACACAAAACATGCATTGATAAAGCATTATTCAAAGCTTATCACCTTCTTATTCCGACCTCGGTTTAAGAGTAACTATTGTAATTCAAAGATCTTTCTGTATTTTTCTTGTTTCAACATTAAAAATATCTTAAAATGCATCAGTTCATGTACACTACCTGCCTCCCATAGCTTTTGCTAAATGTAGGTAGTGTGTATGTGCTATAGCTTTCATTGCTGTCAATAACGTTCAGTTTGTTTGTTTGTTGTTGTTATGTAAGACAGTTCCTACATAACTTTCTTGTAATAATGCGTAAAAGTGTTTTTTCTCTTATTTCCAAATAGAAGAAAGTTTTGCAAGTTTTCTAAAATAAACAAATAAAAGAGATTATAGTGCAACATCAAGGTTTATAAAGACTGCTAGTGGATGCACTATTTGACAATTCAAACACAAGTGTGCAACAGAAATCAGGATCAACGATACGATAAACCCTATTTTGTCACTGATAACCGTACATTCATTATAGAAACACACCGCTGTTTCTATCATTCTATCTATTGAGCGTACACCACCAAAATATGCGATTTTTCTAAATTTTCCGCTGACCAATTCAATAAGAAACTCTCTGAAGTTGCCTGGGAATGTATCCTCATAAATCATTCAATTGATCCTGACAAATTATCTTCAACTTTTTATAAGAAATTTAATAAGACTGTAAATAAACATGCTGCCATTACAAAGTTATCAAAGCGTAAAGCCAAACAGCTTTCTAAGCCTTGGATTACTACTGGATTAAAAGCGTCCATTATGGTTAAAAACAAATTGCATGTGTCCGGTGACGAAGACAAATACAAATATTATAGAAAAAAAATTTGCAGCCAGATATACGTCTAGGAAAAAGATATACTATCAGGATTATTTCGAACGCCACAAAACGAACATGAAAAAGACATGGGAAAGAATAAATGACGTCTTGTATCGCAGAAAGAAGACCAAAATTGTAACTGCTATTAAGGACATCAATAAGAGCAACAAAATCGTAAAAGAACCTCCACAGGTTGCTAATATTCTTAATGACCATTTTTCTTCTGTGGGAAATAGGCTAGCTAGAACAATTCCAACGCCACAAAACATTATCTTAATTACATTTGTCATTGCAAAGCACCAATTTCATCTTTTCTATCAGTCTTACCGGTTACGTCCGACGAAGTGCACTTTCAGATACTCTCCAAACCAAACAACAAGTCGTATGGTCTATATTCATCTCCCATAAAATTATTGAAGTGTGCAAGTAGTATCATAGCTCCTAATATATTCTATCAGAAATATTGAATATCTCAGTAACATTAAGAAAATACCCTTCAAAACTTAAATTGTCCAAAATAACTCCAATATTCAAGAGTGGCAAAGATAATGGTGCGAATAACTACAGACCTATATCCTTATTATCTAACTTTAACAGAATTTTTGAAAAGATGATGTACAACAGAATGAAAGATTATATTGACAAACATAATTTATTGTATTCCTCCCAGTATGGCTTTCGTAAAGGTCACTCGACTCAACATGCAATATTAAACATTGTAAACGCAATACAAACTAACTGTGATGAATCAAGGTCTTTTCTCGTGTGGAGTCTTCATAGACCTCAAGAAAGCTTTTGATACTGTCGATCATAACATTTTGCTTGACAAACTTTATCACTATGGTTTTCGTGGAATTATTAAAGACTGGTTCTCCTCGTATTTGAATAATCGTGTGCAATCTACCCAAATCGGACCGTACATTTTAAACAAAGAAAACGTAAGTTGTGGTATTCCCAAAGGATCTGTCCGGCCTTGGCCCGTTGCTTTTTTTATTGTATATTAATGACATACATCAATGCTCGAATAAACTTAAGTTTTATCTCTTCGCAGATGATACTAATATCCTTTATGCTGATAAAAACTTAAAGTCCCTAGAAGATATAGTAAATTGAATTACTAAACCGAATGGCTAACATCCAATAAATTAACTCTCAATACTACAAAAACTAACTTTGTAATCTTTCACCCTTATAAAAAAAGAGTCACTTACCAACCGAGTCTCCACATGTTCGATAACGACAAAAATGGAAAAGTAACTCTGGAGTCCAAAAATTATATTAACTATCTTGGTGTGTTGGTTGATAAAAACCTTACTTGGAAATATCACATTGACGCTATTACGGCAAAAATCAGTAAAACTATCGGACCATTTCAAAACTTCGGCTCTCCATAACTCGTTATATATTGTTATATATTTACCAAACATTAATCCACCCTCACCTAAACTATGGTCTTGCTGCCTAGGGTCAGGTATCCAAGACTCTCCTCAATAAAATTCTAATTCTTCAGAAGAAATTGCTTCGCATGATGTATTTTACGGTTATACGTGAACACGCAATTCCTCTAGTTATCGACGCTGACATATTACCAGTGTCATTTAGTTTGATAAAACCGTGGCCAGTCTAATGCACGATAATGACAGCAACAATTCCCCAACAAGTCTCTTCAATTTATTTGAAAGAACCTCAACAATTCATTCATACCATACAAGATCATCTACTTCAGGTAACTTTCACGTTAAAAGCTCAAAGCTGGAAAAACACAAAAACTCCTTGCCTTGTTTTGGTGTAAAACTTTGGAATGAGATACCTTGTGATATTAGAGATCTTCCTAAAAACAAATTTATGAAAGTGCTTCACAGATTGCTTTCCGACATCTTAAAAAGAGAAGGTGACTTTATTGAGACTTCATAAAAAGTTGGTTGAAAAAGTTCGATTAACAGTTAAGTGATTTCTGTACAAAAGTATTTGTTTGTTTGTTTTTTTTTCTTGGCACTCCGTCAATTCCTTTTTCGTTTTTCCTTAGTAGACTTAATGTAATTAAAATAAAAACTATGATAGAAATATTATTTATTGTAACTTAAAATAGTTTCCTTCCTTTCCTTTCCTTTCCCTTTATTTCTCTTTTAACTGGTCCGCCTAGATTAGCAATTACTATTTTGCCGGCCAGTCTATTGTAATCAATATTTTTATCAAATAAAGTTGAAGTTGACCGCTATAGTGTCTCTTGGAAATGGGCGATACACGTTTTCCCTTGAGCTCAACTAAACTAAACAGAGGCTCATCAAATACATGTAAAAGACCGTTGGTCTTTCCAACCTGACAAAAAGCATAGTTGTTTTCTTTCTTTGGTGCACCAAGTCCAGAAAAATGAAGCTTTCCTCTTTCAGTAATATTCCAAGACCCCGGGAGCACATCATACGCAAGCCAGTTCTGAAAAAAAAAAATTTATACACATTTGTTTGATCATGCTCGTCTAAGTGAGATAGGGAGATCCGACAGATAAGGGTATTGTAAAAGGCATTGGGTACACATATCTAACCTTAATAAAATTATACTAGCACCTAAGGCAATCACTGAATCGATTTCCTTGTTGTCACTGTGGTTGTTGATATGTTAATTTTTGTAATACAACTTGGAGAAGAAGCAGGATATAGAATTTGCTATTGATGGTAGTGTGTGATGCCTCATGCATTGGAACACCCTTGAGTTACCCCTAGGTGGACTTCTTTTTCACGCAAAACCAGAGCGATAATTTCGCGAAAAGAGTAATAAAGGCTAGTGCACCTCAGAGTTCTCGTTTAACGAGAACTCGTGAATTTTCTAATTTCAACTTACCACTTTGAGACCTGAATGGCTGCCGTCGAAGCTCATAAACTCCCTCAAGCAAACCACAAAACTATCCGTGTTGACGTCTTCTAGCCAAATGTTCATGGAGTCAAACGGTCGGTCGGAATGTTTATGTAGAACAGTCACAAACACTTGGGGTCTCCCCTAAGTAAGACAAAGTAACAAGAGAACAATTATCTAGAAAGAAAACGAAAATATACGGTCTAGGATTCTACCATCACGTTGATGTAACTACACTTCAAAGTTCCGATTATAGTTAGCGACAGAAAAGTATGGGATTTCCGAAAACTCGATTCTACGTTTAGGCTAGTCGCCCCATGTAAGGGAATCCACGACAGTCTTGGATTGTGGATTCTATGCCTCGGATTTCGGATTCCAGGTGCTGAATTCCGAATACCTTGTCAGTAGAACTTGCATTACGGATTCCAAAACCAAGGATCCCGGATTCCACAGCCAAAATTTTCCCGGATTCCGGAATCCGGATTCCCTTACAAGGAGGGAAGGCTAGGTCCCTTCTTCCATGCCGGATCAATTTTGGCCAAGTAAGAATGGGCTGTTTGTCACCTTAACTTTGTTCAAATGACTGATTAAATCCACCTACTTTACCATCTCACCTTATTCTGAATACTAAGCGATATCTTCTTGCACCGGGTCCTTGAGGTGAATTCATCAAATTCAACGATTCCTGAATCAATGCCTTGGTGTGAACCTTGAAATGCAAGCCAGTTGATTACAGACGCGCCTCCAGAACCGCTGCCTGCTTCACGAACGCAAGCATCAAAACCAGATGTGGACACTGACTTCACCCAAACAGACGCTGGGTCATGGATTTTGACATGTTCGCTTCCATGGCTCAGCGTTGCAAACACCTTTATATCTCCCGAACCCTGGAACTGAGCTTTGAAAGAAACGGTCTGACAGCCATGGTTGTTTTGGGATGTGTCGGAAATATTGACCTTCCCAGCTCGAAATACAACCGCTTGAATAACGTACATGCAAAAAAAGTTAAAAGTATTTTAAAGTTAAATACTGTTTAATTATATTGAAGTAAAACATTATGATGATGATGATGCGTTCCCTGCATCGACCTTGTATCCATTCATTGCACAGACCAATATACCTAACTGTAACCACTCCATGTTGACTCCAAGCGATTCCATCATGTCCAAATTCATAAGTGAAACGTACGCTTAAAGTAACTCCAAACTGGAAATGGATCTTAACAAAAACCGTTCCATTCGCATTTAAGAACGGATACACACAAAACATTAGGAATTTTTTCCCTATCACCTACTTTCTTAAATTTGTGGGTTAGCAGTCATTTTTGACACTCCCCGAACCTTTTTTTTTAATCCAGCGTGAATAGTCAAGTTATTTTACAAAATGTTTCTACGTTTGCAAAAACTGTAAGAATTCAGTAGTGAAGAATTAATCAATAGCTTAGACAGTTACCTTTAGTGAGCTGAAAAAATAGCACCTGAAAAGCGAAGTAAACGAAGACTTGCTTCGCCAGCATTGTCTTCACTTTTGACTGTGCTTCACTTGCTGTGTCTCACCTCTCCCGCAAATACTTAGTGGGTGTGCTTTTGAAGCTATATTTTAAGTCTACTTGTTTTGGAGTAAGAAGGATTTTAAAATATTTGAAACCTGGTTTTAATTGCAGGTTAAAGGTACGTTAATCTCATCCAAATCGGTCGTTTTAACGCTGAGTAGTGAGATTAGCTCCTTCAGTTGTTATTTTATAATTAAGCAGGAGAAAATAACAATTAAATTATAAAGAGTGTTCCCCGTAAGCTCATTATTTACGACAATGAGCTTCTCAGTATATAAAATAAACAAACTCATTTTATTCAAAACAATAAAACGATAGGGAACGTGTACTTTGCCTGAGCCTGGTACCAAAAAAAGGAAAAACAAAAATGAACAAAATTGCTGATCTGAAAACAAAGTTATTAAAAAGTTATAATAATAATAATAATAATAATAATAATAATAATAATAATAATAATAATAATAATAATAATAATAATATATGCAAAGCTGTATTTTTTTAGGTACATTAACCTTTTAAGTCAGATTTTGTGAAAAACATTCCAACCTCTTTAAAACTGAAAACAGATTCTGAGCTTAACAAGGCATGTCTCAACGCAAATCTCCCTCACGAAACAATTGGTCTGCAGTCTCTTTATGTTGTGTATACACTGTAAATTTGTGAAAAAAATGGAAAACTGCCCCTGACTATTGTTTATTGTTCGGGAACACTTAAACACATTTAAATAATCGAGAGGACAGATTTCGTGAAAGGACGATCTTCTTAAGCATACGAATTTGCATATTTCTGCGCTAAAGCGAGGTTAAGGGCTAGTCCGGCCTCTTAAAGCTTAAAATAAAGATTTTGTATTTAACCCAAATCTTATGAACAAAAGCAATCAGTCTCAGTTGCAGTTTTATTTTTGGAATCCAGATTCTACAGGCATCGGCATTTCTTTGCTCAAGCAAGGTTAAGAGAGAGTCACCTCTTTAAAATCTCAATACACGCAAATCTTCCAAGAGAAAACAATCCGCCTCAGCTACAGTATTTTAAAGACTCCCACAAGCTAGTCCTACAGAACGCCTTGTCAGTTTTTAGGGAGCCTATACAGTTTTAATTAAAAATGCTAGACCTGCTGGGAGTTCCAAATACGTAAAATTGAAAGTAATGCCTAAAGAGGTTTAAAAAGAGTAAGTTGATGACAGGTTTGTTTTCAGAATTTTATGTAAAAATCACGGTTCACTACAACTTCTTGCTAAGGAAATAGACACACCTTCCAACCAGGATTCAAAAGAAAAAGAAGTGGAAAGCTTTCTGTGACCATTCTTTTTTTGTTTAGGCATATTAAATCTCTTTGCAAAATCGAGGACAGATTTCGTGAAAAGTTAATCCTTTCTTGGCAGCGGCACATTTCAACGCTAAAGCGAGGTTAAGGGACGGTCACCTCTTAAAACTCCCATTACAGCTTCTGGGCTTAATGCAAATCTTACGAAAACAAGAAAAAAATCAGTCTTCAAAATAATTCAGGATTCAAAATAAAACAAAACGTGGAAAACTTATTCTGGTTATCTTTTTCGTTTAGGCACGTTACAACCCCCTTAAACAATCGAGAGCAGATTATGAAAAGATGACCCTTTCTTGGTACCTGCAGGAGCCCATATCATTACGGGCATATTTCCGCGCTGAAGCGAGTTTAGGGGCCATTCACCCCTTGAACTTTCTAAGCAAATCTTCCTCAAGAAAATAATCTGTCTGTGATGTTATTTTTTTTCTTAGTGTTTTTCTATTTAATGTGTATTTGTTTAGTGTTAGTACTATAGAGCCCAGCTCAGTAGTAAACGGAAAATAATTACAATGAGATGTTGGCGTATTAAACTCGGTAGTCAATGAACCTCCTCCCCCTCTCCAGTCCCCCCACCCTGAGACAAGGTATGGTTTAGCGGGGAAATGAAGGAGATAATTTTAAAGAGATTGCTTCTCCAATGGGGTAGGGGATTGAGACTTAGGGACGAGGTTGAGATTTTTTTTACGTTTTGTTCATCAGTCCTCGCGGTAGGGGTTTACCTTTTGCTTGGGGATTTATACGTGAGCCAGCTGTTTCCTTACATTAATTATATCTAGTTTCAGCAACAAAGTGAAGTACATTGTGGTTGGCTTTCAGCTAAACGGCCCTAAAATAGAATTGGGTTGAACAATACTATTGTCCTCGAAACAATTTTCAACTGCGGTCACCCAAGAGTGAGAAATGTGACTACGGTTGTATTTGCTTGCACCTTCAAATTCGATTTTAAAAAAAGGATAGTTGTTGCTATTAAATTTTATTGTTATTGATAACCCGCTAAGCAGGGGGCAATGTAAACTCCACCACCACCCCCACAAGAAAAGGCGGGGATTTGTTGGAAACTTCACTCCAAATACTGCCAAATTCCCCTGACCCTGGGAAAGCTGGCCAAAGCCCTCAGATGTTGCCAGTACTTGGGGATTCCCTAGCCCGAGATTATTTCATTTCGGCAACTGTTAGGAAATTAGAGGCATTTGAGTGTTTTTCTGTTATGGACTTAAAGAAAATTTTAGGCCTGTAATGCGTAATGAAAAGGTTTTTCGACAGTTTGAAATTAAAATATCCACAAGGATTTGTTTGGAAAATACCGTGCGAGCAGAGGTTTCTCTCTCGCATGGCTTTTATCGTTTACGAAGTCGTTTCTCTGTTACGTAGTTGGTTTGTTTACGCCCCGTGAGAAACCTCTACGGCAAGCCGCTTGTGGTTTCCGTTGAGCATGCTCTTTAGACAACTCCAAAATCTTGGAGGTAGACTCGCGTTTCAACGAAGCATTCAGAACAGAGGACTTTCATAGCACTGAACGGTTCCATAACCAAGTCTTTTTACTCCTTATCAGTCCATGGCGTTGTATAATTTTCGAAATGGAGATGCCTCCGTAAGTTTAGTAACAGGTCACGGAAAATCCGTATTCATCTCTTCGCGCTGCTCCGTCAGTTTCGAAACAACTTGAAACTCAAAATCTTGCAAAATCCTGTATTTCTGTCGATTCTCAATAACTAAGCACTTGTATCACTTTAGTAGTCAGGTAAGACGGTTAAAATGAGCTCGAACCTTCATTTATGTAAAGGTGAAACCTTCGACTGTGTTGTTTAATATCGGCAAAAATCACTGGGGCAGAATCTGTTTGTGCAACCATTTGTTATTTATAGTAAAAAATGTAAGCTTATTAGAGTTACTGTTTGATTTGTCTCTAGCGATATATCTCTAAATATGTACATAGGATCCTAAATAAACTTTGCATTTCTTTAGACCTGCGGTATATTATCATTATTCAGTGAGATTAGTTCCTTAAGTTGTTATTTAATAGTTTAGCAAGAGAAAATAACAATAGCATTTACAGACTGTTCCCCGTAAGGTCACTATTTACGACAATGAACTTCTCAGTATTTAAAATAAACAATCTTACCCGACTAATGCATTATATTTAATAAGAATAATAAAATGATAGGGAACGTGTACTTTGCTTGAGCAATTTCAAAACTTTTTCAGCTTAGTAAACTGCGTACGATTGAGTACCAGAAAAGAAAAAAATAAACGAAACTGCTGATCTGAAAAAAAAAAGTCATGAAAAAGTTCAAAAAATAAAAAAGTATTTAACCCAAATCTTACAAACAAAAACAATCAGTCTCAGTTACAGTTTTATTTTTTGAATGCAGATTCTACAGGCATCGGAATTTTTTCGCTCAAGCAAGGTTAAGAGAGAGTCACCTCTTAAAAATCTCAATACAGCTTCTGAGCTTCACGCAAAGCCATCTTCCGAGAGAGAACGATCTGTCTCAGCTACAGTATATAGACAACCATACACTGGTTCTACTGAATGCCTTGTCACTTTTTAGGGATCCTATACAGTTTTAATTAAAAATGCTTGACCTGCTGGGAGTTCCAAATACGTAAAACTGAAAGTTATGCCTAAAGAGGTTTCAAAAAAGTAAGTTGATGACAGGTTTGTTTTCAGAATTTTATGTAAACATCATGGCGCACGACAATTTCTTGCTAAGGAAATAGACACCTTTAAACCAGGATTCAAAAGAGAAAGAAGTGGAAAACTTTCTCTAACCATCCTTTCTTGTTTAGGCACATTAAATCTCTTTACAAAATCGAGGACAGATTTCGTGAAAAGTTAATCCTTTCTTGGCAGCGGAACATTTCAAGGCTAAAGCGAGGTTAAGGGACAGTCACCTCTTAAAACTCCCATTACTGTTTCTGTGCTTAATGCGAATCTTACGAAAACAAGAAAAATCAGGCTCAGGTGAAGTCTCGTTTTGCTGAATGCGTTTCACTATAAATTGATTCCTCACAGCTATCTGAATGTACTGTCACATTTTAGTGAAAGTATTCTTCCACTAACTAGTTTTGATTTAAATAACTATTCCTGCAGAGCTAACAACACTTTAAATTGTTCT